TAACGAATTCCTATACAAACTTTCAACTTCAAAATCAACAGCCTAAAAAATAACTTTCAAGCTTTTAATAACTTTTAAGCTTTTATAATGACGATACTTCAATCAACCTATCAACCCCTTATAACACTTTTTTCGTATACAAAAATAGCCTATGTCCTTTCTCAGAGTCTATACTATCTGTGTAGCAAATTTTAATTAAATCCGACAATAGTTTTGGCGTGAAAGCGCGACAGACAGACAGACAGAGTTACTTTCGCATTTATTATGTTAGTAAGGAGTAAGGATGAGTGGGTGGATGCAATCTAATTCAATTTCTAAGTTATAATGTTAGAGAAATTGTATATTTCAGAATGATATAGGATTATTGACTTTGAGAATATTAGAATCCAATGTTGCAATGAGTATGGTTGTAGCTATTATTTTATAGGTTTAGCTGTTGCTTACATTAATTTGACGGACTTAATGGTTTAATTTACAAAAGAAATGATGGTCCGATAGTCGCTGTAAATACATCGATATATATAAAACACCTAAACCGCAAACAATCATAATCATGCAAATATTTGTATGATTGTTTGTATTGGTCTGAGTGTCTTCTATGTATTTTATATTATGTATTAATTTACAAAATGTATAAAATTATCGAATATATAAGTATTTATATCAGTTGCTTTTGATGAAATATATGTATATTTCGTCGTGGGTGTATAATAACTATTTTACTAAATAATTTATACACCCCTAAGTGGGTGTAAAGTTAAGGGTGGATCAACTCACAATGTTTTTTTTCATTTTTTTGACAATCATTTTATTTTAATATTTTTATTATATGGCGTTATAAATACATACAGCCTTAAAATTTCACCCCTCTACAACCAACCCCTAATTTTTTATAGCAATTTTTATTAATATGGCAATACAACGTCTGTCGGGACAGTTAGTAATCCATAAAAAAACCCAGTGCAATGGTCACAATTGTTGATCGTCGCGTGTTGCGTGACTGATAGACATTGAACCAGTCGAAACACTACATATCATGTAATATTTTGAATACATACATACAAAATGCATAGACAAACATAAGTATGTATATTGTCTATGCAGCAATCATAAATATATAATTGTAGTGTCGTTTATAATATTGAAATAAACGTTTTTTACTACATGCATATGAATATAAATACGGTACATACACCAAAATAACATGTCTTACAATTTTAGTCAGTCTGTCTGTCTGTTTGTTATATATTTATATATATCCGGCTAATCTCTGAAATGTCTAAATACGGATCAATTTTGACGGGACTTTTTTGGTAGGTTCGTGATGTACGTGAGGTACGTGAATAAGGAGTAACTTAGGCTACTTTTATTTTAGAAAAATAAAGTTAAATTCCACGCAGAGGAAGTCGCGGGAACAGCTAGTTAATAAATAAATTTTTACGTTTCAACTTTCGTTAAGCTGTAGTACTATAAAGTAGTAAACAGACAGACAGTTAATTACCGACATCAGTAATCTTAATAATTGAGAAGATATAAGAACATTGCGCTCTCTGTCCCCAACAATTGCTGACAGTTATCTCGTTCAGATCGCAGCTTTTCTTTTATAGAAACGGGTGAAAGCAAACTTTTCACTAACAATTAATGAGATAAAAAGAATGAGACAGTATGACACGTATTTCGCACTAGCTGTTTTTTTATGTAATCGGATGTCAAACGGCCCACCTGATGGTGAACGGTAAACGACGCCTATATATATGAACGGCAATTAAATAATAGCTACTTATTAGTTTAATAACTTATTATAGGTGTTACCCAACACATATAAATATCTACATGCATTGTTTTTGGAAATGCATAAATAATATACAGTAAACGGCCAGACCGATGCAAACAATCATACCCATGAATACAAATTGTATCGTGCGAAGAATCGAACCCGCGACCATCGGAAGTAAGGTGGCTGGTGGCTGAAGGTATTTCAATGAAATTTATAATTGGGTAAACATCAGAATAAATAATGCAGGTATATTTTAATAGAATCTATGTAGGTTACTATCAGTATGTATAATTGTGTTATCTGTGCTATGAGTTACAAACTCAAAGCCTATATATTATTCATATGGGACACAGTCACCTAGATACATCAAAATAATAATTGCATTTAATAATGTCTAGTAAGACAAATTCAATATTGTCTACTAAGCACTGCCGTGTCTAAACTGTGTCACCCCACCTTACATTTTCCTATTGTTATTTAGTATATAAGATCATTATTTCTATGTACACATTATCAGTTTATCATCATCTGTAATATACATCGTCTCGACCAACAACATCGTATTACCCGCAACAGTGGTGACCCCGACGTGATCCAGTCGGCAACGAGACGATATCTGGGAAAACGACGAGATCAAGCAAGTGATCTCTGTCTGACGGCATCCTGCGCACCACCAACGATTGCACATTTCCACCGGCACCAAAGAACGCTATCGGGGTTGAATCACTATTGGTTATTGGTGGATGTTAGACATCGACCAATTGGCATCAATAATAGTTAATAAGTTAAATTGAAAATTTTTATATTTCAATTAAATTTAATATATAATATATTTTTGGTTTTTTTTGCGCCCTTCGGCTGTAGACTTTTTATATGGTCAACAACATCTTATTATTCACCCGCAACAATTCACTTAGGACCTTTCGCCCTCTTGTTAAAATATATCAAATCGCAATTTGATATATTTGAACACCCTACGGTCACCGCCATCTTAAACTAGGCTGGGGCCATTGGGCACATAAGGATACGGGGCCCTTTTGGAAAGTAAAAAAAAAGGGTCATTAGGTATAAGAACAATAACATTACTGATTTGTGAAAAAAGTGTTGTGTGAGTGTGTGTGAGAGTGTGAGAAAAATTGTCAGTCTTTCGGGGGCCTCCTGAGAAAGGGGGCCCTGGGCACGGGCATATGCCCTTATGGTAAAGACGGTATTGCCTATAGTATAGTTTGCCTAGCTTCATCTTTTTCTCTTTATATTTTTTTTTTGGTATTTTTGTACACAAAATGTGACGGTGATGACAATTAACAAAAGTCTAGCTACTTCAGTTGAGAAGAACTGACAAGAAAATCAACTCTTATGTTTCTATTATGTTATTATATTTTTTTGTCAGTTTCAATCTTTAAGTAGTATACATGTGTAACTTATTTGAAAATATATAATCTTTTGTTTGATCAGTTAACGCCATAGAAGGTCGTCTCCCAAATAATCGGTTACAGAGATATAAACTTTATTCAATACTAGCTACTTGACCCGGCTTCGCACGGGTGTACATGTATTATATGTTACCCTTCCTCTTGAAACACTCTATCTATTAAAAAAACCGCTTCAAAATCCGTTGCGTTGTTTTAAAGATTTAAACATACATAGGGACGGACAGACAGCGACTTTACTTTATAGTATGTAATGTAGTATTCCTTAATATAATATAAGAACACGCGGGGAACATAATTATATCTATCTATAAAATTTTCTATTTTCTATTTTATATTATATAGAGTAATAAGTAAATCGTAAGTAGTAAGGTATGGTTCGCCTAAAATTCCCTGGATTCGGAAAAATTATTAGGTGAGACCACAGATAATATAATATTATATAGTGAGACTAAGGTTCAAGGAAAAGGTCTGCTACGTTTAAAATAAAACGATTTAGGTTACCGACTACTAAAATTAATACGCTCTGGCTCTATATAATGAGCTGACCTAATCGTTATATTTATTCATAAGTATTAATGTATTTAATAATTAAAATCACCTTACATATCGAGCTTATTTTTTAAATTTCCATATTTAACTTACATTTTTATTTTCATATTTGTGATCGCAAATAGCCTTTTAATATATATTAAAAATAAAATTAATTAATTTGAAAATAGAACGTCAAGCATAGAATATCGATATTGTTTTGTTTCTTTTTATGAATTAAAACACACTTCTCGAATATTCCGCGGCGTCATCAATAAATATATGTATATAGCGTACAAAATATTCTATTTTTGTTTATTTTATCCACCACCAAATATTTTACATAAATGTCAACTTAGACACTTATTTGTATTTTTTACAAATGTCATAATTTGTTTAACTTCATATCTTTTTACTACTTAGAAAGAAAGAAGAAAGAAAGAAAAATATTTGTTCAGTGCTTAAACCGATTACGACATTTTTTTTTAAAGCTGGTGCTTCTAGTGGTGCTTGTGATGAGATATCGGTTTTATAACGGTATGAACAAAATAAAGAAACAATGTTTAATGAAAAAATATAGTTACCATGGAATAGAAAACTAGAAGAATTAGCTACTGTTATGTATAATAAGATGTTTATTTACTGAGCACTGCGGTGAAATACTAATTACTAGTTTGTAAGTAATGGCCACTCTACATAATTCAATATTTTCTCGCTGCAGAGAAAATTGTCTTTTCGCAATGTAAGAAAATTGTCTGTTTTATCGGTTATAAAGATTGGTATAAAATCTATATTTCTAGTTTGTTTGGAAGGCCCTCTCGTCTCACAAGATCAAGTATATTTTTTTTTGTTCGGTACTGAAAAGAAGCTAAGAAATTCGTCTAATATAAGATACGACAAGAAAAATATACCTATATCTCATTAAACATAGTTATTAATAAACTTATCCGTTAATAATAATGTTATTATGGTTGCATCTTATTGTTTCCTGCGTAGGTCTGTCTGTCTATTTGTCTTGGCATTTGTGATTCATATCTATTAAAAATATTAAATTTTTAAATATAGCAAGTTATGAGATGGTTTTGTCGTCTCATACAATGGTCTGGTGTTACGAAGGTCTATATTGAATAGCACAGTAATAACAGGTAGATTTATATATTATTGACTAATTACTAATTAAAGTGTATATGTTTTATAAATTAAATTAATTCAGTATGAAAATGGATAGTTATTAGTAAATAAATAAGTAAATAATAACTTACCGATAACAGTAAGACACCGCTTCCCAGAGCCACAAATATCCGCCATAATATCTGTTCTAATGCAACGCTTACGTCACGCCACTTTCACTGTTTGGCAGCGTACAACAACATGCCTTAGCCACATAAGAACAAGAGGACGCCGCACTCTACAGCCAGGTTCAACGCACGATTAAAAAAAATAAATTGAAAAAAAAAAGAAACGAGTTGAGAATCGGGGTTTTGGAACGTGACTCGACACGATTCAAATTTTGGAGGGAGAATTTGAAAATGCGTGGTGCACGCTCACTTTCGTGGCGGGCAGTGAGCAGAACGCGGGCACCGATGTGCTTTTACTTTCCTTAGTCAGTGGGGAGTGCATCATATTGTTGGCGGATCCGTGATCACTTGCCGATGATGTAACAAGCTGATACTTGGAGCACAGTACAGCCGACATCAATACGAATATCTATCTTAAGCTGAGCGAAAAGGAGACTGTACTTAACTTAACCGTATAATTCTCTACATCCGTTATTTGTAATCTCATGATGAAATAATTTCTCTATACATGATATAAGCATAACTTTTGACGGACTCGATGGTCTAGCGGTATAGGACACCGCTGTTCGTCCGATGGTTGCGGGTTCGATTCTTCGCACGGTACAAACATTTGTATTCATGAGTATGATTGTTTATTTCCGACTAGGGGTTTTCATGTATGTTATGTATGTATTAACAAAATCTATGTATTTATATCTGTTGTATAGTATCCATAACACACACTCTATTTACCGTGGACTAGTCTCACGGTAAGCATAGCGCTATGTACGCCAAATAATCTTGAAAATGATTTTTTATCTATACATATTATTACATATAAATAAAATTGGAGTGTCTGTTTGTAATATTGAAATAATCGTTTTTTACTACATGCATATGAATATAAATACGGTACATACACCAAAATAATATTGTTTACAATTTTTGTCTGTCTGTCTGTCTGTTTGTTCCGGCTAATCTCTGAAATGGCTGGACCGATTTTGACGGGACTTTTTTTGGCAGGTAGCTGATGTAATAAGGAGTAACTTAGTCTACTTTTAATAAAATCCACATGTATATCATTATTATATAGTATAAAACAAAGTCTCTGTCGGTATCTGTCCGTCCCTATGTATGCTTAAATCTTTAAAACTGCGCAACGGATTTTGAAGCGGTTTTTTTAATGGATAGAGTGATTTTAATAGAAATGAGTTTTTTTAATAGAAATTTTTATATATTACACTCGTGCGAAGTCGGGGCGAGTAGGTAATATATATATGTTCTTATATATTTCATTGTTTTTGTAAAGCTTTGTAGCTGCTAAGACTGTCTGTTTTTTTGTCATAAGCCTCTGTAATTAAGAGAAAATTAAGTAACGACTTAAAATTCAGATAGCAGTGTTGAATTATACGTCTGTTGATATTGATATGAAATTTTCAAAATGCTATCTTAAGGATATATATAAGGATCTGAGGTCCCCCCCCTGAGTGTCCAGGAAACAAAAGTTAGAGGGAATCTGTGGGGGGTACAGAATTAAAGTTGGGTGAAAGTAATCGCAGCCTCGAATTCTTTCTAGAAAGAAGGAAGGAGATTGGTAGTAATGTGGACAGATGACCCCGTTGTTAACATAGCAATGTGCCATGTCTGGTTGGAATCCCCCCTGGAAATCATCATGATAAATCCTGGTCGAACGAATTTGTCAAGATTAGCTAACTGATCTTACCTCATACTCAACTTGTCATCCTCCATAGGTACCACGCCAGCGTAAACCCTTAGCGCAGTGCGCTAGTATTAATATTGTAGTGGTATTACTGATTTTCTTAAAAGGGTGGATTTTTCTTCAAAACCTGATTGTTATGATGATTAAGGCATAATTTAGACAGAAAATATGTGCAGATGACCGATCTGGTAACACTGTAAATGAAGTAGTAACATTCCATATAACTAATTGTTTACTGAATTTCCAGGGCCGTAAACCTAATTAATAAAAAATAAACTAACAAATTTCCAGAGCCGTAAATTAATAAGAAAAAAGTCGCAGCAAGTATGTCAAAGTCATAATATTTACGAAGATCTTTATCCCGGATTTGAACCACGCTGTGCATGTAGTTATGAAACGTTGTTTCAAGAAGTGGCGGTTACTTGTTACTTAATAAGTTATTCGGTTATTAGGCAACTTGGTTTTTACATATTGTTCATACGTTAAAGTGTGTTTTTTCCGTAAATAAATTTACAAAAACAATATTCAGTGGTTATGTGTATAATGATATAGAATTAGTGCTAATCGGTAGTTTGTATTCACACACTTAAACTTAAATTGTAAAGTAAGAATAAAATTATTTAAAAGAGCAAAACACAAGTTTCTTGCTCGTTCTTCTTGTGATGAGAAAGCTTTCCGAATGAGCGGTAGATTAAAAAAATGTGATGACTATTCAAAACTGCTTCAATGTAAGTTTATTTGAATAAATGATTTTCTATTCTATTCTATTCTATTTCTATGACAGTTAGGTCTTTGTAGGAACTGGGGTATTTTTGTACTCCCGTATATTGACAAGGTGGTTTAGCATATTTCTTTTATTTGTAATGCATTATTGCCATCATTAAAAGTAGATGCTGTTGTAAAACGTCAGATCATTCTCGAACTGATTTTATTTTATTGAGATAATTATGTATTCCAAAGCATTAAAAAACGTGCAACATATCCATATAAATTAACATTATAAAATTATTATTACAGACACAATGACTAATAAAACAGTTGAATTGTATTGAATTCTGTACCGTCATTTGAAGCTAAAACGAAACATTTTCATTTGACTTTTATTGGTCATGAAATGTTTTTTCATTATTTGGTCAAGGTCACTATTTTACGCGGACGAATTCGCGGGTACAGCTAGTGTTTAAATATATTTTTTTAAATTTATAATTCTTTATTGCACCAGTTATAAGATGAACATGAGGTCAGGTTAGTTGGGCCATCGTGATAATATCACCAGCAATTTAGCACGATATTTTCCATGCGGTTCACTTCCAGGAGGACATTGGGGTCAAGAGTTCACATTACTCTTCATTATTTATCATATCGTACCGCCATTTGTTTGGTGATTTTGAAACCTTTTCTAGAAGTAATATCTCTTATTTTATATTTTATTTAGCGTTAGAAATATTTGCAGTCTTTTTCGATGCTGGAAATCTGATATCCGGTGAACCCAACAATGTTTATTTATGACTAAACATGCTACGTCCGTGGAATGTTACGATCTTATTAAATATAGCTGTTCCTGCGACTTCGTCCTTGTGGAATTTAACATTATATATCTAAAATAAAAGAAATTTCGTAGAATAAAAGTAGCCAAAGTTACTCCTTATTACATCAGCTACCTGCCAAAAATAGTCCCGTCAAAATCAGTCCAGCCATTTCGGAGATTAGCCGGAACAAACAAACAGACAGACAGACAAAAATTGTAAAAAATGTTATTTTGGTGTATGTACCGTATCTATATTCATATGCATGTAGTAAGAAACGGTTATTTCAATATTACAAACAGACACTCCAATTTTATTTATATGTATAGGTAGATATAAGGTCAAGTCAAAAGCATCGACAAATACATATATTGTACATGCATAATAAAAACAAAACTTATAATAAATGAATATTGGACTTGTACAAAATTGTTGGGTATATCATACATAAGATAATATTTCATAGTTGTATGGAGTAATAACCCCATAGCAATATACCATAACAATTTGATTTTCCGTCTGAAAACCATCTTGGTAAATTGACATTTGCCCAAAAGGACGAACTGACCTGACCTCATGCTCATCTCTTTCACTGATGCCCCGCCAGCGTAAACCGTTAGCACAGGCGGGGGATCACTCCATTATCATTACATAGTATAATAGTATAACACAAAGTCGCGGTCGCTGACTGTCCGTCCATGCATGCTTAACTCTTTAAAATTACGCAACGGATTTTGAAGCGGTTTTAATAGATAGAGTGATTCTAGAGGAAGGTTCATATATACATGTACACCCGTGCGAAGCCGCGGCGAGTAGCTAGTAATAATAATAAAAAAAATTGCTTTGCAAAAGAAATAAGTAAAAAGATACATAACAATATAATACTTGAGTTTCATACCAGTTCTGAACTCAAGCAAAAGGAAGGCATATATTGATACCTATAGTGTTAAATTCTTATTGCCTCTCTGCTCTGATCTGTAAAGTTCAGCTAATAATAAACCGGATACGTGCACAGCATCCTTCAACCTTCACATACAGAACTTAAGGGCCATTGTGGTGTTTCTCCCTCATCTCGAATAAAACTTCAATTCACCTTTTTCAATTATGGATTTTATATGTATTTGTGGTAAGGCACATTTTCATTGTAAGAGAGCTTGTACACTGTTAGACTTGTTACTAGTTGAAATTCCCGACTTTAGCTGCACGATCTCTAATAATTTAATAGCATAGGGAACAAACGAGCTTGCGGTTCACCTGAAGGTAAGTGATTATCGCCGTCCATGAGCTCCCGTGTTGTGGTTAAATTTAAAGTTTTAAGAAGGAATAAAAGAGAAGAGAAGGAAGTGCTCTTTTTTTGAAGGTTTCAATATCTCGAGATAAATCAGAGAAAATGTTATGCAGACGAATTTGTGCGTGTCAGCTAGTATAGCATACAATAATAAAAATATATATATTTACATTTAATTACTACACATATAATAAAAATGTACTCAGTGTGTCTGTATAGAAAGATAACCTAACATCGAGGCACTTTATCAACGAAGTCGCCATTTCAGCTAGTCAAAGATAGTTAGAAGAAAATACTGATATATAACGAACGATATATAGATAACGATGCTGGCCAAACTGCTAGCACAGATACTATAAAATATTAAATATATGTAGTTTCTCCAGTGATACTGCACCTTTACAAAGCAATTCTAGTACGAAGGAAGATCACGTGTTCTATTGACAGCGCCTGCCCTTTTCATATGAGCAATACCTAGGCTTTATCAATTGCTATTCATATTTCGAAATAGTTATGACTAAATTATGGATCACCTGATATTCACTATTTGGCATGCAGAGCATGTGGTTCACGCCTCTCTGAACCTTTTAAATCAAATGAAATATTTTTACTCCTGTAGATCAATTTATTATATCTATGAAAATTAACTAGTGCTCGCCTGCGCTAAAGGCTATACTATACTATACTTTGGCGGAACACCAGGGGAAGATGATAAGATGAGCATGAGGTCAGGTCA